TTTTTTTAAACTACTGTGCTTCATCTGTTAAACATTACCTTCTCTTCAGGAACATGGATGCTATTGCTAATTGTTTCTGAAAGTGAAATCAAACACCTCCAAATCAATATATACCAACTTCTGAAAGAATTTATATCCTGTCCAAATAGCTAAGACTTGTATTGACTGTTCAGGCTCTCAATTGTTCCTCTTGCAGTAGCTTATAGATCCTGACAAGGTAGAAGGAGCAGAGTAGATGCTGTCAGGAGCAACCTGCTTTGCCTAACTTTTTGGGATGTGGAAAACAAGAGGGTTACCAGTGACCCTGAAGCATAACACCTTAATAATTAATAATAGTGAATTTCAAATGGTATAGCAGTTTAGCTTTTATCCTGCCCTCTGGATCCAAGAAGCATTGGAAGGCTTTCTGCTTTTATTTTGCAGTCTTTATAACACTTGATTAAAGCCTTCAAATAATTTTGTACCTGAGGCTTTTGATGCTCTGTGTTCTTTGGTGCTAGTGGCATTGGTTTTTTCAAGCTCTTCTGCTGCTGTCATCGTTCTGCTTTGTTCCCTAATGTTGTACTCCTCTCTGTTTTCCTGCAGAATCCCGAACACCTGCAATAAATATCTCTGCTTTTTAAAACCTCACAGCCAGCCACATCCAAATACGCTTAAGTTTATTGGGTTGTTGTTCTCATCTCTACATTACCACTGCTGACCTCAAATAGCTGCTGTTTCATCGAGTACAATTCCATTTAAACTTTGAGGTTCCTTCTGCCAACATGGTGCTGCCACAGTACTGCTTTAGAGTGCTCAGACTGCTGTTATGGGATCCCTCATTTGGTGTTTTATACAGAAGCAAAATACTCAAAGACTTTGAGCAGCACTTGTTACCAGTGCCAACAGAACAGTCTTGTCTTGATTTGAAGAAATGAGCTCATGAGTCTTTAAAGTGAGTGTTAGAAATCTTAACTCTTCAGAGTAATACAGGAAACACAATAATTTTTTTAAGTTTGACAAAACTTCAGAAAATTACGGGAAAGTTAACCTTTTTTTCTCTTCCGTTAGGATGTCATTATTATGAGAAGCAGTCTGAGATGTATGTAGAGCCACTACTCTATTATAGACAAAAGCTAGTCCCAGTTTGATAATTAGGACTTCCAGAATTAGTAACAGATTGCTTTTCTTCATTCTGGTATTTTACCTCCTTTCACCCTGGTTCCCCTAATGCTTAGTATTTTTTTCTCTGCTTTCTTCTTGTCCACTTCTGGGAACTAGGCTGGAAAACCAATGCAGCTCATCAATGGGTAGAGGTTGAAAAACAAGCTCTGGCTGTATTTGAAATTTTTTTCATAAAATCTTTCCTCTGATGGAACTAAGGTGTGATGGATAAATAGCACTAAACAAAGCTGTTCTCTATTAGTTTTCAATTCTTTTGTCTGGAGCTAGGACAAATTGTCAAAGTAATTCTAGATCAAAAGGATCCCTATTTTTTTGTGTGTATCACTCACTTGTCAAGGAATTGAAAGCAAGACAAAGTTCTTGCCTGTTAGAGTAAAGGCACATACCTGTAAGCATATAGCTGTAATTCTTTCTGTCTGTTAATTAGTTTGTGAGTTGCTGACTGTGTTAGGCAGGAGCAGAAACAAATGTTATCTCTTATTTGCTGTAGAAAAGGTAAGGTGGTACTATAATTGTTCTGGGCATCAGACATTTATCTCAGTTTCAGCTGTAAGCTGTTGTACTTCCTTAGGGATTCTTTACAAGGGAAGCTGCAAGTGTCCAACCCGCTTTCTCTGTGAACGTCTACTAAAACAAGGGACAAAAAAACGTTTGAGCCTAGGAATCTCTTAAAATAAACTGCTGTTTTGCTGTCAGAGCAAAAGCACTGTTGAAACAGTACTGCCTTAAGTCTGATTCTAGAGGGCAGAAGATAAGACAATTGTTTGAGTTTTCGTAGACAAGAAAATGGAATTAAGCTGTTGTATTCTTCTGTTCACAGAGATTTGAACCCTTATGTTTTCAGGGCAGGAGAATCTTGACATGGGGAAAAACACCATGAGGCTTCTCTGTACTTCACTTTCCCTTCCCATGCTTTGCTGGCTTGCTGAAGGTACCCTGTCAAAAACAGATGCAAAGAAAGGTGCTACAAAAAAAATGGAAGAAAAGGTAAGACAAATAACTGAAATGCTCATCTAATCTAACGTGAACTAATTGAACCTTTGGCAAATGGACTCTCATTCTGTCAACACAGTGTTAGGAGCAACCACACATTTCCCTTGAAGATTATACTCATAAATAGACTACCTGCAACTGTCCTTCAGCTTTTGTGAGTGTCACAAATGGTTCACTCTGTGAACAAATAGGATGTAGACTTCTGGAGCTTATCTGCCATGCAAGCTGCAGAAGCAGGAAGTTTTTGTCCCCTCTTGCATAGCTAAAAGAGATGCGCATACTCCTTTGGGAAGGAGGGGTAGGGAGCAGTAGTTTGGGCCTGGAGGACTAGGTCATTTACTGGTGGAAGGGAAGGTGTTCTTGACCTTGCCAGTGGGAAGGCTGTATTTTGACAGAAGAGTCTGAGGAGCCTTCTGACCAGCAGCTTCTTTGTAGGCAGAAAGGGTTCAGAGTTCCGTAGCACTCTGAGAAAGCAGAGCCAACATGCTGAAGTCTCTCTTAACTTGCTGAGATGTTCTGGTTTCCTGCCTGTTTTCTTTCAAACCTGTAAGAAGTAATTTGAAGTGCAAGAGAAAGGATGTGTATGGAGATGAAATTTATTTACCAGTGCATATCTACCAAGTGTATGTACTTAGTGTTGGTAAGCATGTTAGGTAAAAAAGTAGACATCTTCAAAATCCTCTCTTTAAATTATTAGTTCATCCCTCATTATACAGATTCAGCTCTCATTGTTTGTATTACTTGCTTGCTCAACATCTGCCAGGAAGAAAATTTAGTCTGCTGGTGATGAGGATAACACAAAGTGTTAAGGCAGGCCTTATACCCAAAGTCCTTACACTGAGTCAGCAGATGGTTTCTGCCAATTCACCATGCACACTTAGTTGGCCCTTCTCACTCTGCTTCTGTCTGCTAAAACTATTTGTGCTGTTTTAGTTGAAGCAGATCTTCCTTAGAGAAAGGTGCTCAGAATCTTGGCCTTCAGTAACCACAATGCAGCGTACTCAGCCTAAAATATATCCAGTTTAAAAGTTGTCTTCAAATTCTTGGTTAAGAACTCCTAACCCCTTTTTATAATTTTTGGGGTAATGTGCCAGAAGGCATTAACTAGAGAGCAGAGCACCATCAGCTGTGGTGAATGATGTTCTTTAATCTCATCACTTCTTGGTTTGTTTATATGCTTTTTGCCTTGCAAACAAAGTAATTTTACTGATGATGACAAATCATTTCTGAGCACTTTCCCATTTGAGTTTTAAATCAAACTGCTCTGCATCATTTAAAAGGAGTGTTCAGAGTTTAATGATGTAATTTTTTTTCTTCTTTTTGAAGTCTCTTGCTATTGAAAGTGGCTGCTTCATATAGTTGGTTCTAAAAAACTGTCTTCTCCCCCTAGATGCTGCATTCTGATAAAAATGTGCAGGACCGGGGACTGGTAGTTGTGGATCCAAAGGCAAAGGATATTATACTGGAACACAGAAGTTATTGCTCCAAGAAGATGAAGGAAAGAAATTTCTCAGGAGATGTTCTGGGATATGTTACTCCTGTAAGTTAATAAAATGAATAAAATTGGTGCTTTGAATGAATATGCATCAGACTGTGCTAATCTGCAGTCTTGCATCCCTGTTTTAAAAGCATTTTTTATAATGGGAACTTCTGGTCAAATAGCCAAAGGATTATTTGAGAGTGGACTTGGGATTCAGGTGGTCTCAAACCTGTGTTCTCCCATCTGTCTCTTGGAGGATGCCTAGGTTTTTCTTCTCATTGGTGAAACAGAGATGATAGTGTTCCCCTGTCCTTTGTGAGCCCTGTGAAGTTGCAGTAAGTCAGACCAGGAGGGCTACTAAGTGTTCTCATACATGCAGCTGCAACCTTGAACCTTCTAAGTAAATAGTAAAAATTTAATGCTGCTGTCAAACTGATCTCTTTTGCTATCCAGTCTTACTATTATTCAGAGAATCCTTTCTTGAATAATAAATGTTTCTTCCTTTTGTTTAGAGAATGCTTTTCACTTGTTTTAGTCTTACACTACTCAAAGGAGAAATAGGTGCCCTATAAGTTTTCACCTTTCCCGAGTTCTCTTGAGCATAAATGCAGAGTCTGTAAATTCAATACTGTGTTGGAATCTACGTGCAAATTGCTGTAGGTCAGGTGAATTTGCACAATTTGAAGATTGCCTTTCACGTAGCTATTAGAGTTTCCAGACTACTTTCTTATTTAATAAAAATAATGTCCCAGAAGGTTTCCTCAAACTAACAAGTGGGCATTGAGCAAATGATTACATTTGTGTTAAAGAGTTTGTATTGGTTAAAAGTAAAGTGAACTGTATATCTTACTTTTGAGCCTCTCACTTTTTTTTTTTTTTCCCCCTTTTCTTTTCCAAGTGGAACAGCCATGGCTATGACATTGCTAAAATGTTTGGAAACAAATTTACAGTAATCTCACCAGTCTGGTTACAAGTGAAAAGGAGAGGGAAGGAAAGGTTCCAGTTCACTGGGCTCCATGATGCTGATAAAGGTGTTATTTTCTTTTTCTTTGAATATGCACTGCAAGTAAGATTACTGGTCTTGCGGCAGATTGGGTAGCTTTGGCAATATGTGCATGTGGGTTTTTCTGGCTCTGCCTCATGATGAAGCACTTTCATCTGTTACATTTCTTGTGAGTTTTCTTCAAAGTGAGCTTCTTTCTGTCCCTACCAGCTTTCACATGTGTACATAGTTTATCTGTCCAAATAATAAAGTAAAAGGATTGGCTCTTCCACCAGACTGTCTACAAAGCACCTCTTTTTAAGAGGAAGGGACAAATAATCTGTACAGGCAGAAATAGTCTTTGGTGTTTGCACTGTGCAGTTGTTTACCTGCTGCATTTTTTTTTCCCTCTGCAAAAACCTTTAGGTGAATATGTTTTGGGAATGTAAGACAAATTTAATCTGAAGATAATTTTTTCCTTCACTGTGAAGAAACTGGCAGAATGTTCAAATTTCAGCTAGTATGTTCTATAAACTACTTAGTTATTATTTAAGTTTTGAACTTGATTGAAACATTTGTCTGTGGAATCTCATTTGAAACAGCTATAATTTTATCGTGTTGGTGCCTAGTAACAAATCCATTCTAGTGCAATGACTGCCAAGAGGAGTGGATGGGACATGTGCAAGTACCATCTAAAAAAAAACCAAAATCCTCCTAGGTGATGCTTGGTGACTACACAAGTGTTGTTCTGAGGAGTCACTAAGACAGTTTCCATGATGGGGCAGAACTGTGAGCAGCAGGGAGGGGTTGGGTAGGGACTGTTATATGAGTGTAGTAAATGCTAATTTTGCTGTGGTGGAGGTGAGTAGCTTCAAATTCTGTGCATCAGAGGATGTTTCATCTGTGTTGGTTGTGAACTAGTAGTCTGTGTCAGGAAGACCAATATGATGAAACTATGATACATTATTTGAAGAATGCTTGAAAATTATGTTGTTGTTGTCAACATAATTTATAATTTAACAGCTGTTCTCTTACTTGATACTGTTTGACAGGCTGGATGAAAGATGTCAGAAAAAGCTCCAAAAACATCAAAATAGGTGAGCCTCTGTTTTTTGTTTGTTTGTTTGTTTGTTTGTTATCTTTAACTGCTATCAGAGCAAAAGAAGGCTTTGTTCCAGGTGAACCTAGGAGAACGGGAGGTTAGCTTAACATAGCTGTATGAGGGAAGAAGTCTGAGAATAAAAGCAGTTAACTATAAATAGTTAAGTAACTGATGTGTTTTGCTTTAACTTCTGTCTCTGGGTAAGCCCGGGGTCACAGGGCCCTCTCTGGAGCACTGGATGCTTACCTGGGGAAGCAGTCTTCAAACTTGTTGCTCAGGGGTTCTGCTTAGTTAAAAAGAAGAAAGAAAGAAAAAAAGTACAAATCTGCGTCACTCAGACTTCCTTGCATAATAGTAGAAAACTCCTCCTTTGCTTCTCCCCTTGAAGCTGGGAACTCAAGGGATGTGCCACAGTGTGTCTTTAGGGAAAATGGCAAACATCACTATAGAGATCATGCTGTGCTAGACTTGTTACATTTGTCTATAGCAAGAATCCTGTGGAACTGTGAAACCCCTCTTGATTCAGAAGAGAGTATGAAACTTGAAGTGCATTAGAAAAATTGAGTGCTCAGTCAGATATTTTAAATTACTTCAGCTGCCAGTTGACGAAGCCTTTGAAATCTTTCTAGACTACTTTGAAATACTGTTACACGCCTGGTAGTTGGAAAAGGCTTAGACATAGCTCTGTATGAGTTGTTGGCTTTTCCGATGTGCATGATTGTCTGCTGTCCCAACAGCAGTTTTCCTGACTCTTGTCTGACTATGTTTTCAATGTTTTAAGTGTGTTGTGAGAAAAAGAAATTATGTGAGCTCAAGTGCCCATGTGTTCCAAAATAAAAAAAGATTGTCATAGAGTGTTGAGATGAGTAGAAGAGTGAAGTAATACAGGGCTGTGTACAAAAGAGTAAGTTAGAGTTTGAGGTGAACTTTTTTGTCTTGTTCTTGTGATAGAAGAGATGCACATCTTACAGAAAGATTGCTGTTTCATGTTGGTGTTCTTTTAAAACTCTACTAGGGGCCTTAAGTGATAGTTCATTTAAGATAGTTCAATCAAGTGAAGGTATCTTTTCTGAAAACTTGCATCAGTGCTGACCTTTAAACATAAAATGAAGAGTGTTTTACAGTGTCAATTTATCTGTGCTGCTAAAGTTGGTCAGAGTAAAAGATCTTAGTCATGGGATATGTTGTTTAGTGGCATCTCTGCTTGTATCTGCTGTATTCTGTTTCTGCAGAAATATTTCAATGTAGATAAAAAATTAATTTTCACTACTGATGACTTTGCTTGATAGTGCCTCGAATTTTGTTTGATGGCTGGACTTATCAGGACTTCGAGAGTGTTTTTGGCAGTGAGGATGAGATAGAGGAGCTTTCCAAGAACATGGTTCTGCTAGCCAAGGTAAAAAGAGTTTTTGCTGATGCTTATAAAATAGCGTGAGATGATATTTGATTCCTTTTGTAAAGGGTATTTTCTCATTTCCAGTAGCTGTATATTCTACAAAGTAAAATTCTACTCAAAACACTAATGAGGCATGATTCTTAAGACTGTGTCCTGGTATGTGGCCCACTCTTAAATATGAAGTATAGCAACAGTTAAGTGCAGTTAACTACAAGTCTAGAGTGAGACTATGTAAGTCTGATCAACATAACCTTGTGAAGTTGTCATTGGCAGCTGCACTGGTGACTTTTGCCAGCTATAAATTGTGATTGATAAATCCTGTTCCAGACAGCTGACAGGCTGAGTGTTACTGAGGCAGTAGGGGCTATGTGATAAACTTCTCATGGAGGTTGCCTAGTGAGCAGAATGCTTTCTTTTTAATTTCTATTAAAAAAAATACATCTATTAAGCATGGGCTAAACTGGTTAGTGGCATTTTTTGATAGGCAGAAAAATGGTCATGGGTGCAATGAGTGCTGTTTTTTTTTGTATTACAGGAGTACATTCAGGCTCAGTGTGCTAGAGCTAGTGAGCCACTTTTAATACCAAGAATAACTCACTGGATATCTGTTACTGTACAGTTTTGATCGGGTCTGATAAACCAGCTTCCTTAAAATGTGAAGAGGCTGGGAAGAGGAGAAGAGGATTTCCTTTAAGGAATGGTTACTGTTTGCTAAGGTTTTCTGGGCAGCCCTGTAGCTAATGGGTTTAGAGCTATGCATGTGTAGGACTAGAGAAGTTGCACCCAAAAGACATTGAGCTTTAGTGGTTGATTCATGACAGTCTGCTTAATTACTGTCAGAATAAGTTTTCTCACTTGGTATGTGATGTAAAGAAATCGTAATGTGTTCTAGAGGAAGATGAATGTAGAGGTAAACTGAATGTTGCTTAAAATTTATAACTGATACATCGATTTTAGGTCCTCAGTAACAGTTGACCTCTTAAGGAAAGGATACTCAAGCACAACAGTATCCTTTATCATGCTAAACATAAATCATCACAAATGCGATTAATTGTGGGAGATGTTTGGAATCATGCCTATGACATATTACCATTTACATCTTTAGACTCAAGAGCTCGTGAGTTTTCTCCCAATACACATATAAATGTTTGTCAAATGATTTACTTAACAACCATCTTTCCTTAATGGCTGAATTCTCCATAACTAATAGAGATTCTCAGCTTTTGCATGTTTGTTACATAATTTGTGCTTCTTTGACTTCGTGATGAAATGCTGCATTAAAGACAAAGGTGGTATAACCATACAGAGCATGTTCAATCTGCAATAGTACAAGAAAAAACACAGTAGCTGTGTGCTTTCATACTGTACTGTCATCTCTAATACAAGCCTAATGAATAAACATGGTGATTAAGCTTATGTTGTCTGTTCCCTTCATTTAGAATGAAAATTTTGATGGTTTTGTAGTTGAAGTTTGGAGTCAGCTGGGAAATAGAAAGCAAACGTGAGTATAAGTCTCTTGGATGCAATTCCTAAAAATTGTCTCTTTTAAAGCATCTTTTTAATGTGTCCATGTTGATTTGAATTTGTCATTGTAAGTAAATGCACTTTATTCTGGGACAACTGAAGAGTGTTCCACTTAGAAGTAGAAAAGTCTACTCCACTCTACATGGGCTCAAAGATTATGTAGTAATCATCCTAGTGGACCTAGCAGACCTCTTGGGCCTTTCATACTTGAGTTCTGGAAGGTGTCACCATGGCACAAGGGTGAAGAGGTTCCCTCAATTGCATGCTTACTTGGCTGTTGGCCCTGGCCTTTATTATAACATTGGTTGGGTTACTGGGTGACGCTTGGAATCATGGGATGCTTTCAAGACCAGCAAATTTGAGTTGATTAGGAAACCTTCCAAACCTTTATAAAGAGATCTTTTAGACATACTGAAACTAAAGCCAAAATCCCCAATCTGAAGCAAATCTAGGGAGAAACTGTCTTCCAGTTCTTGCAAGCACAGTATATTTTAAACTTTGATGTAGTTGATCTACCTTTTTGTAGCACTGCTATGAAGCTTCAGTGAGTCTGAATTTATTATAGCTGCTAAAACTAAAGGGTTTATCCATATTAAACGGTTTCCTGACATGTTCTAATCTGTTTTCCTTGAGCAAAAGCTGCTTGGCTGTCTTAACATCTTGGACAGAGTCAAAGTAAGGCAGGCTCCAAACTGCTGCTTCAGGAGGAAAAGGCAGACTGTGAGGTGAAATGGATGATTCGGTGCAGCAATCTGAAGATTCTGTATTAGTTCCCTCAGGAAATTCAGGCATCCATTCCCTAAAGCACAGTATTCCTACCAGTTTTCTATTGCCTAAAATATCTGGGAGGGGGGAGGGAACTAGCTTAAAAGAAATCTCCACAGAATGCAGACTTCATTACGGAAGACACTTACCTTTCAGAAATTGTTACTTCAGGTTATTCTGTTTAGGGCAAATTTTACTGACTAATGGCATATAACAGTTATTTCTGGAACCGAGTGTGCTATTAACAGAGTCCTACCTTTTCCCTATAAAATCAACACTTGGGAACAAAGAATTGAAACTGCAGAATCTTTGTAGCCTATGTCCGAGGCTCCACCATTTGCACTGGAATGAATAATCCTTGAGCTAGGTGCTCTTGCTAATAATTAGGTAATTTGCCAGGTTTTTCTTAAGAGTTGATCTCTATGCTGAGCTCTGAACCTATTACGATGTCTTAATAAGACATCCAACAAGGTGATTTAAGTAATTAGTAACTGCCAGGCAGATGTTGGGTGTAGTGGTCAGTTTATCTACTGTGCCTACTGTATTTCAGTAAAACTGGTGCTTTTCCTATTAACTTACACGAGTGTAAGACAGACTGTATTACTGTAATTTTAAGACTTGCTGACGACCAATTTAAGCAGTCTAGCATCAAAGTGCTGTGTTGCAAATGATGCACATGAACAAAACATGTTTTTAGTAGCTCCAGAGTAAGTTTACTCATGGCATGGTAAAAATGTTATGCTTTGCCAGGAGTAATGCTGGTTCAAAACAGCGTTGCTTGTCTCATCTTGTATGATAAGAACCGTTTGTACTGGAGGAGGTACTGCTGCTATGTAGTCGCTCTAGCCTTCAGTATCTGAGTGTTATTTAGGTGAAGTGTAAAAGCAGCACTTAGTAATAAAGAGACAGTGAATATCTAAACAGGAGTGGGAAGTGTTTTCCATACATTGAGAAGGAAAGGGTTATTCTCATAGAGTAGAATGGTAGCTGCCTCCTTTGCTCCAAGTCAGTAATGTTTGATCGTTATGTGGCCACCTGTGAACAAGACTTCAGGATTGTCCTGACTAAAAATGCAAAATGTTTGTGGTGTTTATCAGAAAAACATGAATAGAAACAAAAACTCTGAACTGTGGATTTTCCTCTGCTTACAAGACCAGTTTTTATCTAAGTGCTGCTGCTTAAATTTATGTGGGGTTTTTTTTTTCCCTCCCTTTATTGCCACTCCCCTAGAAATGGTTAGGGTTTTTAAGTTACAAAATACCTTGTGTTGGGCATGCCTCCTCAGAGACAAGCATGCTGAGTAAGGCATGTCTAGGCAGCAACCTGAAGCTAGGCTTGTGTGTGGAATAACGGTTGTTTTGTGAAAGTAGGAGTGCACCATTACGTTAAAATTTTGTCTCATGATCCTTAGGTTATGAGACCAATGTCTTCATTTTGAGATTAAGTCAGTTTGTCTATCACTTGCGCTAAAACTGGATGGCTTGGGTATCCAGCGCCCCAGGGGTTTTCCCTGTGAATGTTTTTTGGAGCGAACGGGTACTTTAGAAGAGATCTTAAGGGACAGAATTAAGTGAATTTAGCACCTTGTCAAGCGTGTGTTTTTTATTGCACGTTGAGTGCTGTTACTTTGAAATCTTTTAATTTCCTTTTGAACAGTAGAGCAGAGTTATTCCTGATAAATGGGTGAGCATGGGTGGTCTTCTGCTTCGCTTGTCCCTGCCAGAAGAGAATTGGAGCAGCCCATGAGCTCTTCAGCCCACAGAGTGGCAGTGTTGTAGTATGATTCACACCTGATTGTCCTTGTCAGATTGGGTCTTTTGAAAGTCACAAACACTAGTGGTAAGGCATGTTCTTAACCTTGGAAGGGTGGGGGTCAGTTGACAGGTAGGTGTCAAACAGAGATGACACATAATCCTTCGGATCTGTGAAGCCAGTTGTGTATGCTCCATGTAAAGCATCTGTATTAACTGTTAGGTACATAATGTAGGCTTTCCTGATTCAGAGCCTGCAGGATTAAATGTGAATGTAGCTTAACCTATTTCTGGGTAAAGGAACAAAAAATCATGATGATGTTACTAGGAACAGACAGTCTGCCTTCCAATTACTTCCAGAGCTGTCTGACAATACCAGGAGACCTGCGTAACTGGTGCAATTTATTTCTATTATTTAATGAGAACATGTTTTAGTTTAAAAAGAAAAGAAAACATCGGATGCATTTTTTTCTGAAGTACAAGGAATAATCTCACATAACCAGTTAGCAACAGGTTATTGAGATTTAACAGGGGATATGCTGCAGCTGCCAGCTTGCCTTATGAAATTACAGAACGGTGGTGTGGATCTAAGTAAAAAAATATTTCACATAGTCATTATGGTTTTCATTTTTCAAAACCTAAAGTAACTGGATACTTAGCTATTAATTGAATGCTATTGTATTATTTATTAATTTATTCTAGTGCATCCTTTCGTGTATATGTATTGAAGGGAAAGCTGTGGAAATGATTCCAGTTATTTTTTTGGTAGTGTTGTGGACAAGACCCGTGATCACATCCAACGCACTACCTTAGTGGTGCAGGAACACTTAAGATAGCACAGGTTTCTTTATCAGACTTAAAATGACTAGAGACTGAGATAAATAAATATAAATATAGTGCCTGGTTTCATGTCAGATATCCTAAGCAGCCTGGTCTCTGGTTGTTCGTGTATCCTAGATGCCTCGATTCTTACTCAGCAGTCCTGTGTGCATGCTTTGTATACCTTTGGATGTATAAAATGGCATTAGGTTCTCATATTTAGTTGCCAAAATACCACCTGTTGTATCTGAAGAACTTGAAGTGTCTTGAAATGTGGAGCTAAGTTTTAGGGGGTTTATGTGGACCAGTTCAGGCTCCTGTAGGTACCAGTGTCTGTATTAGGTGTCTACTTCTATATAGTACTGGTACCTACTTTGCTGTGATTTCTGGGCGTAGAATTATTGATATACAAATGTCAGTGAGGTCAAATTTGCTGTGAGATGAAAGACTGCATCTAATTGATGCTGCCTCCTCCCATGCTGACTGTCATTGCACAGTGAAAAAGTATTCTAACACATAGGAAATTAGTCTCCTAACAAAAATCTAATTCAGCCAAGATATCCTGTGCAGATGATACCTCAATTCTAATGTGTTTTGCTGCTGCTTATAGTTTAAACATGTTTCTTAATTAAATTACTGTCTTTTAAATAAAACTTTCTTGACTGATTTTGTAATAAAATATTCCAAGTTATTACTCCTGTGGCATTTAAGTTTAGCAATGTACATGGCAGAAATATTGAGATAACTGAGCAAGCAAAGGTTCTCCTGCTTATTTACTTAACAGCTGGACAGGACAATGTCTCTTTTGCTAATCTCACTTGTGGGTTTATTGGATGTTGTTTTTCTCCAGGGACTTGGGTCCTGTTGTGAAAAAGACATGAATGTACCCGTCAGAATCTCACAGGATACGTAAAAGCACACGCATTATTCTGATCAGTCTGGCATGAGCTGGCAGATGGCACTACCATCACACAGAATCAATCTGAAAAACATGGTCTTTTGTCACCACGTGCTGCAGGCACTTGGTATCATGCAGAAGATGACCTTCAGCTATCTTATTAATGTCGGTAGGAGTATAGGAGCAAAAAGCTCTTCTGCCAGTTCTATCGTTCATGTTAGTCCCTGAAAAATTAATCTATTAATCAAAGATTTGCCATAATTCACTGCAGTTTCTTGGTATTAACTAGGCAGTGAAATGGCACAAAAGGGCAATTTCTTCTTGAACTAGACAGCTTTATTCTGTCCAATTTGCTTGACAAGGCAGAAATTTTAGGGAATACTGACTGCCAGCTTGTGCAAAAAAGTGGCTGAAATTGGGAAGCTGAGGAGTTCTGAAGGGTCATGTAACAGAAGGGAAGGATATAACAGCCTTATGTTATGTGTCTTCTGCAAGGCTTCTCAAATATGCCTACAGCCCACTCTGGTGCACTGAAGCATCCCAAGCAGAATAGACCAGCAATGCTGGAAAAAGGGAGTTCTGAAAAAATAAGCTTCCCTCAATCTTTGCAGACCTCCTGATTTTCATCACCCAAACTTTATAGGGGACAAGACACTTTGAAATCATCAACACTTGGAAAATTGACCTACCAAAAGGTAGTGATAATAGAAGGCCTGAAATAGTAGGAATGAAGTAGACCTTAAT